ATATATATATATTAAGACTTTTATAGAATTTTCTTTAAAAAATGTCTAGAAATATTTTCGACTCTCTTATGGGATGTAATATTTAGTTAAATATGAAGTGCTCCATATATATTAACTTAAATAATGAGTTGTATGATCACTTTCTTATCAAGTGTTAGTGAATTGCGTCAATCTTTTTGTTCTTCCATATTCATATGTCAAGATCTATTAGATTCTTATATTTTTTTTTTGAATTCGAAAAAGTATATCAATAATTTAATATAAATAGAATATATCATTATATAGGTTCATATTTATTTTTATAGTAAATTATTAAATTCGGTTAACCTTGAAAGTGTACATCAATGTAAAATTATTGTCAAACGACAAAAAAGTACCTATGATGTATTACTAAGAAAATTCTTCCATAAAAATATTTTAATAGCTAATATATTTATCATTTTTTTAATTTTTTATTAAACATACATTTACTTATCAAAAATTTAACAGAGTAAGATTGAAATAATATTCACATGACAAAAACAAAATCCAAAAAATCCGACAAAATCGAACCAATCCAAACCCATATAAAACTGAATCAACCCGGTCCATGTACACCCCTACATGATACCCTTGATCAAACTACATGATATATATATATATATATATATATATATATATATATATATATGTGTGTGTGTGTGTGTGTGTGTGTGTGTCAATTTTATGATTTACTTTGTATAACAAAAGTAACTTATTTTATTTTATTAATTCAAATCATTAATCTGATTGATATATTTAATTCATGTATGTCACTGTACTTCTTTATATTATGGCAAATCCTATATGTAGTTATTTCATAACTCGATGAACAGAGCTAACAGCTAGTTCGAAATTTTGAGTATTATTTTTCAAATCAAATTTTTCTTGTGATTTCTTTTCATAGTGAAAATAGAACACTGAAATTAAATGTAGGAGGGGAATCAAATTACAGGATTTTTTTTTTGCAAATGGTGAATTATAAGCCTCAAAATCATCTAGAGAGCATAATTATAATTGATCAAGTAAAATAACATTCATACATCTCCAAGATTACAATGAATAAAAAAATATACCAACTTAGCTTCAAACTAAAAACCTGGAAAATAAGAAAACTACCACATGGAAAAGAGAACAAAGAAAATATCAATCACATTAACAGAATGATGGTTCGATCCAAGTTGGCGGGTAAATAGGACGGATAAAAAGATTCAATCTTTTCACTTTCAACATCGTAGAACCCCATATCTCTTCTGCCCACTCCGTCCAATGTACTATAGAAATCAGTCTCAATGTACTATAGAAATCAGTCTCATCAGTAAAATATATGTGACTTAGCTTGACTCCGATAAACATAGAAAAGTCAATAGAACTTGCTCTATTACGGCCCAAGAAAATTGACCATTATCCCAAGGTATTAATCTCCTTCAATGCACCTCCAATTACATCTAATTCAAATACTCGAAATTTATAGGTTTCAGCACCACCATTTGGACCCTTTGAGGCAAATCGACTAACCAATAATAGTACACCTGATACTTCTACTAGGTAGAACTGAACTAATGGACGTTTAAACATATCATCCTCAAGCTCAAAAAAATCACATGACTCTCCAATTGTTACATCATAAACCCAAACTTGGCCAGAATAATACACAACATAAAATTTACCCTTATAATATTTGAGACTCGCAACTCCACCAATTACATTAGATCTGTCGATTATAATATTAGTCCAGTTAAGATCTCCAGGTCGGCAAAAAGCCAAACAATTTTTATATCCATAAAAAGAAACCATTAATACATAATCCGATGTAAGAGAAGGACTAGCAGATAACACAGCTTGGTCGATGCATGGATATCCATCATCTGTATTGTCGCAATCAAAAGCCAATAAGGCCTGTTGTGGAGGAAGTTGAATTAGGGTACGAGAAAAAGGATGCAACAAGTTTACCTCTCCAGTGTATGACGCGGAGCAGATCCATCCCTCTGATGGAAAACACTCTCGCCCTTTAGCTTCGGGGAGAAATATACGTGAAACTTTCTACATGGAAAGAGAGTAAAATTCTCGATAATCATCGTCTTTATCAGCCAACATTAGCAATGGAACTTAGGGCGAAAGCATATCAAAATTATCCTTTGTAGCAGCAGTTCGCCACGAGGTACAAACAGCACCAAAAGCAATGAAATCTTCTATCACTTTAACACAATTTACAATGAGAACAAGGAGTTCGTGGGGCAGTTCTGCCCAATTGGCCATAACTTATACAACGAAGAGGGAAGAACCTTTGTTTCTGGTTTTGACCTAGATATACAGGTTATATATGTAGGTCGTTGTTATAGTATATTCCAATTTTGACTACAATTTGGAATACTGAAAGAATTTGGAATACCAATTGGGACAAGTTTTTTCTATCAACTTTTACGAAACTAGTTTGATTTGGATTTTCTTTCCACGTAATCTTGAATACTTTTTTCTTTTTATTTAATTAATAAATTTCTTTATAAACATAAGGGATAATTTTTACAGACTTCCTCTAAGGTTTATATATATACTAGTTTCGAGGTACGCGCTTTGCGCGTGTACCTATATCAATAAATATATAATTTTTTAAAATTACGTAAATGTTATTATATAATGTGTGAGTTATTAAACATAAAAAACATAAGTTCCTAAAAATAATGAATGTTAATCTCATTAAGCTAGCTCAATAAAACAAAGAAATCCTACTCCACATAAGTTTTTATATGCCTTACTATGATTTATGATGAGTGACATATTTTATAAAAAATTTTGTTATTTTTGTTACCAAATACTATAAACAAATAACACAAAAAAGATACTTTTATCATAATTATTCAAAGATAATAAAATAAATTAAATTTTGAATTTTTTGGTCTTTTAGAAATTTGTGAGTGCTGAGGTAGAATTATAGCTCCTAGAAAAATATTGATAAATAAAATAAAGTCTTAAATAACTAATATTGAATTATAAAAAATAATTTAAGACTATACTAAAAATATAGAAAGCTATCATTTATTAGACAACAACAACAATATCAACGACCCAGTGAAATCCCACTAGTGGGGTCTGGGGAGGGTAGTGTGTACGCAGACCTTACCCCTTTCCCGAAGGAGTAGAGAGACTGTTTTCGAAAGACCCTCGGCTCAAGAAGACAAAACGTCAAAAGAAGACAATATTAGTAACACCACAAATATAATATGAAAAAAATACGAAAAATAGGAACAACATGAAATCATGAAGAATGATACAAAGCAAAAGCAAAATAGTATCCCTACCAAACTAGTCACACACTCACACAAAGTTATGGCATAAGACAAGACTCAACTACCTCCTAACCTGCAACCCTAATACTCGACCTCCACATGTTCCTATCAAGTGTCATGTCCTCGGAAATCTGAAGACTCGCCATATCCTGCCTAATCACCTCCCCCCAATACTTTTTAGGCTGCCCCCTACCTCCCCCAAACACATGTTCCTATCATTTATTGGAATGAATATAAAAAGAAAGAAAAATAATGCTGACAACCTTTTTGAATACCTTTTGTCTTATGTTACATCCTTAATTCTTCAACTTAGCATTTTTAGCAATTTAATTTTTAATATTATATTACAATAAATTTTCTCTATTTTTTTAATTTCTTTCATGGCCGATGCTCTTTTTGTACCTTAAGAATTTTATCAACTTGATAAATAATTTTGAAAAAAATTTGAAACTAATTTTTTTGATAATTTATTAATTCAAACACTTAATTATTTGTTGAGATTTCATGCTTTTATGATAGTATAGAAGATAAACATTATTTTTAAACTTTGTTTTCCTACTCGAACAATATATTATTCTTTATCAAGTTGTGTACTTTTACAAAATACATTTAATAATTAAAATATATATTTAGTTAGATACAAAATCTCTTACTTTTAATAGTACATCTTAGAATTGTAAGTTCCCAACAAGAAGCATGAACTTAAAACATTTCCATTGAAATTGCCGTAGGATATACAAGGAAAAGAAAACGTAATATTACTCATGTTTTTCCAAATAATTACACGAAAATTGTACAATATTTTGTTGTCCTTGGTTGAAAAGAAACTTTCCTTTTACTTTTTATATTCTCTTCTTTTTTCGTAACATATTTTATCCTTACTTAGTTGATTTCGAACTTCTAAATATTAGGTAATAATTCAAATTTTACTTGATTTTAAATTCCTAAATATTAGGAAAGTAACTTAAATTACATATTTGTCCAATGTGAAACTTATTTTAAAAGGATAAAAAAGACGAACGACATTTCGCTAAGGGCCTTCGTGCTTTTAATATAGTACTAGTCTCTATTTCACGTGCCTCGCACGTGTAGCCCCTAGCTATTCTGAAAATGTAATTATTTGAGTCAACAAGCACATATATTTTGAGTTAAATATTATAAATACTTTAAATTGGATACTTGTGTTAGAGTGGACTTATTTCTAGATTTTGAATATCTAATATTGAGTAACGTATATATGAAAATTGGATCGTATCTAAATTTCTTTTACATGCATATTCAAATTTTAGAATAATATACTTGCTCCGTTACATTTTATATTGCACATTTTTTTAGTTCGTTTAAAAGAGAAAGACATATTTTATATTTAAAAATATTTTAATAATAAACTTATCACTTTACCTTTAATGTGTCACGATCCGGATCTCCCACCATCGGGATCGTGATGGCGCCTACTCATGGTAGCTAGGCAAGCCAACTTATTTACCTTTCATTAATAAATAAATCTGTTAACAATCCATAGCATCAATAAGAAACATGGAATTTAATAATAATAATAGCGGAAGTCTAATTTATAAGTCTGAATCAAAACGCGGAATAGTCAACAATAGCCTCTACCCAAGATTTGGTGTCACATTACTCACGAACCACTAAGAATAAACTAAATACAAAGGTCTGAAAGAAATATAACAGCTGTCTGTCTCGAAAACAACGAGGCAACAGTCGAAAGGAAAACATAAAGAAGAGACACCGAGCCTGCGGACGCCTGCCAAGGCCTTACCTCAGTCTCGTGAATAAGAAAGTCTGCTCCCGAACTTACTACTACCTCCCTGCTGCTCTTCAAAACCTGGACTGTGCCAAAAATGCACAAGAAGTGTAGCCATCCAACACAACCGACCCCATTCGGTAAGTGGGACTAGCCTAACCCCCGGCGGAAGTAGTGACGAGCATAGACCGTGACCCACACAGAAGACCTGTGCAGCTATAAATAATACACGGATCGAAATACAGGCAAGTAACAATGTGGGAGGGGAAAATGCTATGGGGAGATAACAATATTAACAGTAATCCAAAGTAACCAACTAAAGCAAGCTTAGAATTAACAGTGAGCAAGAAACCAATACTCCAAAAATAAACCACATGTTAATCGGTAACTGTTGCGGCGCGCAAACCCGCCTTCATAATTTACTATTGTTGCGGCGTCACGCTCCACAAATACACTGTTGGGCGTGCAACCCGACCCATATCATTTTCATGTATCATTGTTGCGGCGCGCACAGCCGATCCTCACCTTTTACTGTTGCGGCGTGCAACCGATCCTCAATATCATTGTTGCGGCGTGCAACCCGACCCTCACATATTATTGTTGCGGCAGTGCAACCCTGAATCCTTCAATATTCAATTTAACAGTCCGAACTCCCCAAAATAACAGTCACAATTAAGGGTGCATTTAAAATAAGTAAATATTTGACAAACATCCCGGCAGGGAAAGAATCCACAAGTTCAACCAAACGTCCCGGCAAGGGAAATAATCAACAACGTTTTCTCTTCTTTTACTTTTCTTAATCTTACACGATATCACTGGAAGGCCCAAAGCTCCATGAAATTTCTTATCTTTCAATATTCCTTCACAGAACAACAATTAATACGAACTTTCCTTAAGTAAGGGAACAAAAATATTCATCTCAAATATCTGGCAAGGGGATTACTATAACCACATTAGTTGCCACAAAATCTACCACCCACATTAGTGTCAACATCTAATTACCACAGTATAACCAAAACGCTATGTAAACCACACTGAACCCACCTCCGCTATATACTAACGACATACATACCACCAACCCTCTTATTAGACTATAGCATCATATGACACAGAGGAAACATAAAACCTGAGCGTAAACCCTAGGTTATTCGCTGTAAGAACCACAAGTGCAGAGGAATCACAACCCACACAATAGCCGCAAAGGGGCAAACATAAATGAATCTCTCCTCTTTCTCACTTTTACTTCACAGTTCTTTTTCAGAACTCGAGCAGATGCTCCAGAGTGTGCAATTTCACTTATAACTTTTTCACAATTCTTTCTACAACTGGAGCCGACGCTCCTCAATGAGATTCAAAGTCATTTCAGTAATCTTTCAATATTCGTATTCACAGTTCGACCAATGCTCCAGGAATAAATTTATCAATATCACCATTCACATGTTATTCACATATATTGGAAATACCTCCCATAAACATGGAAATTCACAAATAAGTTCATGATAATCACATTTGAAGGGGACCTCACGGTCATGCTGGAACATTTCATGTTATAGTTACTCGTCACCCATGCCTATTACATTCGTTACTCCGATCACATGAGCAGTTAGACAAGACTTCAACTCCTATTCCCTCAAGCTAAGGGTTAAATCAGAACAGCTTTACCTCAAAAAGCCTTGAAATTCCCACTTAATCCTCAACACTTATCCGCTTTAAACCTCGTGTTCCATCCTCCGATTCGCTCGAATCTAAATCAGAAATTGTTCAATTTACTTTAAATAAACACTATTGAATTAAGTTTGGAAGGCAATAAAAACGATTTCCCAAAAGTTTACTCAGGATTTTCCCAAATAATGGCCCCCGGCCCACCGTGGTAAAACCCGAGGTTCGGACCAAAAACCAATTACCCATTCCCCACGAAACTCAAAATATAAATTTTGTTTTGAAATCGGACCTCAAATCGAGGTCCAACTCCCCAATTTATAGAAAATCCTGGTTTCTACCCAAAAATCCCCCAAACTTCAACTGCCATGGAAAATCTTTTGATTTCAAGTGGAAAACAACTGTTTTAATGATGTAAAAGTTGAAAGAATTTGAGTATAAAAATCAACTACAAATGATTTTAGGATGAAGGTTCTTTTGAAAAAATCGCCTTATGGTGTTTGAGTTTTGAAAGAATGGTGGAAAGTGATGCAAATCTCGACTAAGTA